CACATACTGTCATAGTCACACACAGGTACACATACTGTCATAGTCACACACAGGTACACATGCTGTAATAATCACACACAGATACACATACTGTAATAGTCACTCACAGGTACACATGCTGTCATAATCACACACAGGTAAATATGCTGTAATAGTTACACACAGGAACACATGATGTCATAGTCACACACAGGTACACATACTGTCTAATCACACATAGGTACACATACTGTCATAGTCCCACACAGGTACACATACTGTCATAGTTACACACAGGTACACATACTGTCATAGTTACACAGGTACACATACTGTCATAGTTACACAAAGGTACACATACTGTCATAGTCACACACAGGTACACATACTGTCATAGTCACACACAGGTACACATACTGTCATAGTTACACACAGGTACACATACTGTCATAGTTACACAGGTACACATACTGTCATAATTACACAAAGATGCACATGCTGTCATCACACACAGGTACACATGCTGTAACAATCACACAGGTACACATACTGTCATCACACACAGGTACACATGATGTAACAATCACATACAAGTACACATACTGTCATAATCACAAACAGGTACACATACTGTCATAGTTTCACACAGGTACACACGCTGTAATAGTCACACACAGGTACATATACTGTCATAGTCACACACAGGTACACATACTGTCATAGTCACACACAGGTACACATGCTGTAATAATCACACACAGATACACATAATGTAATAGTCACTTACAGGTACACATGCTGTCATAATCACACACAGGTACATATGCTGTAATAGTTACACACAGGAACACATGCTGTCATAGTCACACACAGGTACACATACTGTCATAGTCACACACAGGTACACATACTGTCATAGTCACACACAGGTACACATACTGTCATAGTCACACACAGGTACACATACTGTCATAGTTACACACAGGTACACATACTGTCATAGTTACACAGGTACACATACTGTCATAGTTACACAAAGGTACACATACTGTCATCACACACAGGTACACATGCTGTAACAATCACACAGGTACACATACTGTCATCACACACAGGTACACATGCTGTAACAATCACATATAGGTACACATACTGTCATAATCACACACATGTACACATGCTGTAACAATCACATATAGGTACACATACTGTCATAATCACACACATGTACACATGCTGTGATTAGGTGTTCGGAATTTTCATATGATTTTGTATTTAACGAATAAAGACAAGCGACAGTACACAAGTATGTTTTATCTCATTGGTGTTCGTACATTTTCAAAAATGATAATTCAGAAATTTGTTTCGGTTTGGTTGGTGGTGAATTATATGTCATTACATGCTCTATATTTTCACTGAAAGAAATTTCCATAAAACATTTAAGATTTGTTAATAATACATTTGTTTGTTTAAAAGTCTTGTTGGCTCCACAAAGACGTATGTTTGGATGTAAATGACAACTGGAGTTTTAATAGTTTAGTGTTGATAAATCCTAACAATATCATACCGTTTCCCAATTCATATTTAAATATGACCATAGAAAGACCTGGTCAGTATACATCATTTTGTGTTGTTTCATGGTAAAATGACTGGAATCGTCAGTGGTTTAAACAGGCTCGGATATCGTGTGTACAGAGATCAGCCAATATAGATCAGGTTGAGATAGTTTTGTTGAATCATCACAGACAATTGATGAAGAATTACGTCAACATTTTACTACAATAAATACATATACCATTACACGTTATAAAAGGACCCAATTGTGCGAAAAAATTTGAATCATTTATGAAAACTTTTTTTCAAAAGAAGTTGTCTCCACGAGAGAAATGATTTTAGGCCTTACCGGGAAACTTTAAGTGAATGATATATTGATATATTGTATTATGTTATTTTCATATAATTATATATATTATCTGCATGTATGATACATTTATCATTGAATCCATGTGATATGTTGTGATAATAAACTGACATTTGTCCATTAGAGTTACCAATAAATGCACAATGATGAATGTAATATTATCGACGGGTCATTACACAATCGTATGTGTGAATTATCACGACCAAAAATTCCCTTCAATCACCCGTCATTGTGTGAATTATCACGACCAAAAATTCCCTTCAATCACCCGTCATTGTGTGAATTATCACGACCACAAATTCCCTTCAATCACCCGTCATTGTGTGAATTATCACGACCAAAAATTCCCTTCAATCACCCGTCATTGTGTGAATTATCACGACCAAAAATTCCCTTCAATCACCCGTCATTGTGTGAATTATCACGACCAAAACCCCCCTTCAATCACCCATCATTGTGTGAATTATCACGACCAAAAATTCCCTTCAATCACCCGTCATTGTGTGAATTATCACGACCAAAAATTCCCTTCAATCACCCGTCATTGTGTGAATTATCACGACCAAAAATTCCCTTCAATCACCCGTCATTGTGTGAATTATCACGACCAAAACCCCCCTCCAATCACCCGTCATTGTGTGAATTATCACGACCACAAATTCCCTTCAATCACCCGTCATTGTGTGAATTATCACGACCAAAAATTCCCTTCAATCACCCGTCATTGTGTGAATTATCACGACCAAAAATTCCCTTCAATCACACGTCATTGTGTGAATTATCACGACCACAAATTCCCTTCAATCACCCGTCATTGTGTGAATTGTCACGACCAAAACCCCCCTTCAATCACCCATCATTGTGTGAATTATCACGACCACAAATTCCCTTCAATCACCCGTCATTGTGTGAATTGTCACGACCAAAACCCCCCTTCAATCACCCGTCATTGTGTGAATTATCACGACCACAAATTCCCTCCAATCACCCGTCATTGTGTGAATTATCGACCACAAATTCCCTTCAATCACCCGTCATTGTGTGACACGACCAAAACCCCCCTTCAATCACCCGTCATTGTGTGAATTGTGTGAATTGTCACGACCAAAAATTCCCTTCAATCACCCGTCATTGTGTGAATTATCACGACCACAAATTCCCTTCAATCACCCGTCATTGTGTGAATTGTCACGACCACAAATTCCCTTCAATCACCCGTCATTGTGTGAATTGTCACGACCAAAAAATTGTCACGACCAAAAATTCCCTTCACCTTCATTGTGTGATTACCCGTCATTGTCACCCGTCATTGTGTGAATTGTCACGACCAAAACCCCCCTTCAATCACCCGTCATTGTGTGAATTATTACGACCAAAACCCCCCTTCAATCACCCGTCATTGTGTGAATTGTCACGACCAAAAATTCCCTTCAATCACCCGTCATTGTGTGAATTATCACGACCAAAAATTCCCTTCAATCACCCGTCATTGTGTGAATTATCACGACCAAAAAGCCCCTTCAATCACCCGTCATTGTGTGAATTATCACGACCAAAAATTCACATCACCCGTCAATTCCCTTCAATCACCCGTCATTGTGTGAATTATCACGACCACAAATTCCCTTCAATCACCCGTCATTGTGTGAATTATCACGACCACAACCCCCCTTCAATCACCCGTCATTGTGTGAATTATCACGACCCCCTTCAATCACCCGTCATTGTGTGAATTATCACGACCACAAATTCCCTTCAATCACCCGTCATTGTGTGAATTATCACGACCAAAACCCCCCTTCAATCACCCGTCATTGTGTGAATTATCACGACCACAAATTCCCTTCAATCACCCGTCATTGTGTGAATTGTCACGACCAAAACCCCCCTTCAATCACCCGTCATTGTGTGAATTATCACGACCACAAATTCCCTTCAATCACCCGTCATTGTGTGAATTATCACGACCAAAAATTCCCTTCAATCACCCGTCATTGTGTGAATTATCACGACCACAAATTCCCTTCAATCACCCGTCATTGTGTGAATTGTCACGACCAAAAATTCCCTTCAATCACCCGTCATTGTGTGAATTATCACGACCACAAATTCCCTTCAATCACCCGTCATTGTGTGAATTGTCACGACCACAAATTCCCTTCAATCACCCGTCATTGTGTGAATTGTCACGACCACGAATTCCCTTCAATCACCCGTCATTGTGTGAATTATCACGACCAAAAATTCCCTTCAATCACCCGTCATTATGTGAATTATCACGACCAAAATCCCCCTTCAATCACCCGTCATTGTGTGAATTATTACGACCAAAACCCCCCTTCAATCACCCGTCATTGTGTGAAATATCACGACCACAAATTCCCTTCAATCACCCGTCATTGTGTGAATTATCACGACCAAAAATTCCCTTCAATCACCCGTCATTATGTGAATTATCACGACCAAAAATTCCCTTCAATCACCCGTCATTGTGTGAAATATCACGACCACAAATTCCCTTCAATCACCCGTCATTGTGTGAATTATCACGACCACAAATTCCCTTCAATCACCCGTCATTGTGTGAATTATCACGACCAAAACCCCCCTTCAATCACCCGTCATTGTGTGAATTATCACGACCAAAACCCCCCTTCAATCACCCGTCATTGTGTGAATTATCACGACCAAAAATTCCCTCCAATCACCCGTCGTTGAGATCGTTGTGCATGGACAACATATAAAGCATCAAAATACTATCATGTCATATCTAACATTGCATTCCGTAATTCTTCAATTTAATATTATGATGATCTCAATAGGATGAGGAATGGCGTAATGAAACAAGTAGTTGGTCATCACTAAATCAGACGGTTTTTCTATTTCCTTATCGCATACAGAGTACTTACTGTCTCGTCCCAATTAACGAAATCTCGCATATCAGACACACGTATACATTCATTTCTCATCCAAGGAGCTTCTGTCCCATCCCAATCAACCCAGTATCAATGAATCACATAAATTTCTTTTGTGGTTTCAAATGAACGTGTCGTATTTAGCATATGTGGAATGTACATCTGAAGATACGCTATTCTCGTGATTAAGTACTGTTAACTAACGCTCGGTTCTTCAGCTTGCAACAGAAACAAGGAATCCGTGGGCGTTTCTGTTTTGGTAGGTTGTCACGTGACAAGACTGTGGTGGAATCCACGGCCGAATTGGTGGTTTGGTCAGGGAAGTCAGTGAAAGGCATTACATCCGAAACCGATGCGACAGCACGTGACCTAGTCCTTTGAGATACTTGTTCACACACGACACTGTTAAGGTTGGTCCTGCTGGCCCTATCACGTGCAGTAGTCGGCCGAGAAAAAATGATGTTGGTTTCTTTTTGTTTTATGTTATGTTCTACATAATCCGCTCCCAGTAATTCCTCCTGGGGCGACAAACGTATACCAATAGTCAACTTGATAGGCTGAAATACAAGGAAGTGCAATTGAACAAACATTCTTCTTCTGAGATCAGAATTATACGTAACAAACGAAGATGTCAACAGATTATTTACATGGCGCAGTTAACATGATATACAAAAAACAGTTGGAATGTAACATTTTAGGTGTTTGCCCACAACTTCAGAAAATCAGTTATAGATTCACACAGCGGTACACGTACATTGTTACCTGGAGCTGTTATCAAGCTAACAAACTTATACATAGTTGTAGCAGTAGACACTATCAATATATAGGCGTCTGATATTAGAAAAATGGTAATATTCGTAATCAATCTACATTACGTAATTCACATTTCCTATCATTTCTTGTAACATTATTCCATCTGCCATCATCGATAGAGAGACGGATGGTTTGCCGTTCTGTATTTTGTTAAACACTTAAAATAATTAGGAATATTACTTGTTAAATAATCTTCTAGGTTCAGCTCAGGCTTAAATAGTTTATACAATAGGCCTTTTGCTCGAGTTTTTAACAGAACTTTGATTAGTTTTGTATATATATATATCTTTATTTAATGGCATGTTTTAATCGGTTATTATAAAAACTAAAATCTACTCACAAATAATTCTTATAACATATAAATTTCATTTTTATAAAACCTACATTTGATATAGGTGGGCCGGTGTAGTTAAATGTCGCGGATAGTTCAACATTGAATTAGTTAAAAGACAGCGAATCTTCCTGTGAATTTCTCCTGTCCTGACCGACTGCCGGCTGACTTGACAATATGCGGTCTGAAAACTTCGGTTATCACATTATGTTATGTACATGTACAGCAGCTTTTACTTACTACAAGAAGAATTAGCGTACAAAGGGCTGCCCAGATAGTGAGAACAACAGCGGCAAGTGTCTGGACGCCCAACAGGTAGAAACCACCCCCATGTACCAAGCCGCTGCGTCCTAGCGTCAGGTTCTCCAAGTTATCTTTCTCCGTGAAAAGACCTACTACCAACAAACCCTGGAAGTAAAGATCATGGGTAGATATCAAGCACTATACTCCCAACAACCAACCAGACTCTTGCCATGTAATAATAATCATAAACTATATTTATTTTACAACAATTGCGAAGCAAGTTTTTCCATCTTATATGAATCACTCTTGTTGGCTCGGATGGAAGCACGCGAGGGGCCTTAGTGTGGGAGGAAACCGGAGTACCCGGGGAAAACCCAAGTGGTCGGGCAGGTGACACCCATACCTTTTCACATCCATTCCGGGAATCGAACCCTTGACGGCTAGGTGAAAGGCGAGTGCGTTACCACTGCACCACCCGACCACCCTAAATGCCGTGTTTAAAGATAACTAAAGCGCCATCGTAATATATTCGTAACTGATATTCAATATTGTTTGATACTTAAATTGACGAGGCTGCATTGTATGGCACGAACCTATATATATCACTGAATGTAAGATTACAATCTCAGATATAAATGATACTGTACGGAAATTACTATCTTACATTTACCTGCCACTGTACGAAAATGAAAATCTTATACATACCTGTTACTGTACGTAAAGTATGAAAAGTACAAATGAACACATACCTGGTATTGTACGGAAGGTACAAACTTACATACACCAGTTACTGTACGGAAGGTTCATTCTAACATACACCAGTTACTGTACGGAAAGTTCATTCTAACATACACCAGTTACTGTACGGAAGGTTCATTCTAACATACACCAGTTACTGTACGGAAGGTTCATTCTTACATACACCAGTTACTGTACGGAAGGTTCATTCTTACATACACCAGTTACTGTACGGAAGGTTCATTCTAACATACACCAGTTACTGTACGGAAGGTTCATTCTAACATACACCAGTTACTGTACGGAAGGTTCATTCTAACATACACCAGTTACTGTACGGAAGGTTCATTCTAACATACACCAGTTACTGTACGGAAGGTTCATTCTTACATACACCAGTTACTGTACGGAAGGTTTATTCTAACATACACCATTACTGTACGGAATGTTCATTCTTACATACACCAGTTACTGTACGGAAAGTTAATTCTTACATACACCAGTTACTGTACGGAAGGTTACTGTACGGAAGGTTCATTCTAACATACACCAGTTACTGTACGGAAGGTTCATTCTAACATACACCAGTTACTGTACGGAAGGTTCATTCTAACATACACCAGTTACTGTACGGAAGGTTCATTCTAACATACACCAGTTACTGTACGGAAGGTTCATTCTTACATACACCAGTTACTGTACGGAAGGTTCATTCTAACATACACCATTACTGTACGGAAAGTTAATTCTTACACACACCAGTTACTGTACGGAAGGTTCATTCTAACATACACCAGTTATTGTACGGAAAGTTCATTCTAACATACACCAGTTACTGTACGGAAAGTTCATTCTAACATACACCAGTTACTGTACGGAAGGTTCATTCTAACATACACCAGTTACTGTACGGAAGGTTCATTCTAACATACACCAGTTACTGTACGGAAGGTTAATTCTAACATACACCAGTTACTGTACGGAAGGTTCATTCTAACATACACCAGTTACTGTACGGAAAGTTAATTCTTACATACACCAGTTATTGTACGGAAAGTTCATTCTAACATACACCAGTTACTGTACGGAAAGTTAATTCTTACATACACCAGTTACTGTACGGAAGGTTCATTCTAACATACACCAGTTACTGTACGGAAAGTTAATTCTTACATACACCAGTTACTGTACGGAAGGTTCATTCTAACATACACCAGTTACTGTACGGAAGGTTCATTCTTACATACACCAGTTACTGTACGGAAAGTTCATTCTAACTTACACCAGTTACTGTACGGAAGGTTCATTCTAACATACACCAGTTACTGTACGGAAAGTTCATTCTAACATACACCAGTTACTGTACGGAAGGTTCATTCTAACATACACCAGTTACTGTACGGAAGGTTCATTCTAACATACACCAGTTACTGTACGGAAGGTTCATTCTTACATACACCAGTTACTGTACGGAAGGTTCATTCTAACATACACCAGTTACTGTACGGAAAGTTAATTCTTACATACACCAGTTATTGTACGGAAAGTTCATTCTAACATACACCAGTTACTGTACGGAAAGTTAAAATTCTTACATACAACAGTTACTGTACGGAAGGTTCATTCTTACATACACCAGTTACTGTACGGAAGGTTCATTCTAACATACACCATTACTGTACGGAAAGTTAATTCTTACATACACCAGTTACTGTACGGAAGGTTCATTCTAACATACACCAGTTACTGTACGGAAGGTTCATTCTAACATACACCAGTTATTGTACGGAAAGTTAATTCTTACATACACCAGTTATTGTACGGAAAGTTCATTCTAACTTACACCAGTTACTGTACGGAAGGTTCATTCTTACATACACCAGTTACTGTACGGAAAGTTAATTCTAACATACACCAGTTACTGTACGGATGGTTCATTCTTACATACACCAGTTACTGTACGGAAGGTTAATTCTTACATACACCAGTTACTGTACGGAAAGTTCATTCTTACATACACCAGTTACTGTACGGAAAGTTAATTCTTACATACACCAGTTACTGTACGGAAAGTTAATTCTTACATACACCAGTTACTGTACGGAAGATTCATTCTAACATACACCATTACTGTACGGAAAGTTAATTCTTACATATGCAATTTACTAAACGGAAATTGCCGTCTTACCGAAGCTTGAAGTTAACAACCTAACAAGACGTAAATCTTTACCCATACTCCAGCGACACCATGGACAGATATGGCACCCACTGGGTCATCCACTCGCATCCAGTTGAAGAATTTGGGGGCGTAAATGCCGATGAGTCCCCCAATAGCTCCTGCTAAAAGGGCTTCCCACGGTCTGATGATTGCGCAGGATGCTGGACAATATCAAAACAACTAATGTAATTTATATACTGAAATATCGGTGTTATCGTATTGGCCAAACCTTTACAACAGCGTTGCACTAATTCCAAACTTGAAAAATATATTCTGTGATACACATGAACCATATACAAATTGTGATATTAGCTTGTAAGGTTGTCGCATTAAACTCAGCTCTCTTATTGGTCAGTTTTACACCAATTAAATGTCATTTATCAAAGATTTTTATCAATTTCATCCATTTTGTCATGGAACCGTATTAAATTTGTTTTAAATAAAAACGTGGTTAAATTGAATATTTACCTGTTATTGCCACGAGACCTCCAAGAATACTGTTTACGATGTATTCGATCTCAAATTTCCGTTTCTTTGTCAAGTAACTATGTAAAACAAAAATGTAAACAGAGATTCCACATTTGAAGATATTTTCATATATATGCCTATTAAGATACGGATTGATTGAAGTGACCTCCTTCATTAGAATTATGAAATTATTTTGTATTTGCTTACAATTTATTGGTCAAACTAATAATATCCCATGCTTTACTGACAAGAGGACACTGTGGAAGATTAGCCTCGGTTAAACTAAATTGGTTCTTAAATCCTCATGAAGTAAAGTCTGTTATCAATATTATTATTATACTGAACTTTGCCAAGCAGTGTATATAATTAACTGTAAGTTCTAATTGTCAAACAATATTACTGTCTTATATATTTTATATTATCATCTTATATAGTATCATACAAAAAAATCGTTAATTTAGTTTCACACAAAAATTTCATACAAATAACATCGTCAATTTAGTTTCACACAAAAATTTCATACAAATAACATCGCAATAATTTCATACAAATAACATCGTCAATTTAGTTTCACACAAAAATTTCATACAAATAACATCGTTAATTTAGTTTCACACAAAAATTTCATACAAATAACATCGTCAATTTAGTTTCACGCAATAATTTCATACAAATAACATCGTCAATTTAGTTTCACACAAAAATTTCATACAAATAACATCGTTAATTTAGTTTCACACAAAAATTTCATACAAATAACATCGTCAGTTTGTCGCTATATACATTTCAGTATATAGTTTTCCAAATAACACAAATCTTTCAATACTCATATTTGTTTTACAATATAATAATAAGTAAGTGTATTTTGTTTGACTGAACACTTGTCAGACAATAGGTCCTGTTATTTTAGGTTTTCTGTCGTCAACCGTCTACAGGGCTATCGTTTTACCGGTATCGATCGCCCCTACACCAGCGATAATGATGTTATTTGTGTCTTTAGAAAATCTATAAGGCGGGGTTATATTAGTTTACCTGATCGTAATACCTATTACACCTCCTCCAATAGACCCTAACAACGTTACAATGGCGGATCTAAAAAAAGAAAAAAATATCGTCAACACACAAGGATTAGTATTATACCACAGGATAATTTCAATGTAAATTTATATCCCCGCCCGACACCTGCCTGTGTTCCTCTTCTACTGTACCTAACCACCCTACCCCATAACACTAAACATAATATATACATAGTCAATAGATAACCTCCTAACAAGTCTGTAATATGATATTATAGAGTTTACAAAGTATAAACATGCATAAATGTCTAATGGTGAACAGTCAGTCAGTCGGATAGGACTTAAAATGGTGGCACGTGTGAGAATGTCCAATTCGTAAGAAAAATATCCCGCTGAGGTTCTTTCCAAAAGAGCAGACGTGATAACGCCGGCACAGAGGATAACATCAACAATAAAGATTATTCATGAAGTGAACTTAACGGACATCAAAACAATATTTTGAAGATATCAACATTCATAAAGTGTAGGATTCAAACGACTGTCCATGTATATATCCTAACGTTACCCTGTCAATGTTGTGGTTATAGAGATATTACTAGGAAGGATTTGTTGACACGATGTTGTCTATGTATATATCCTAACGTTACCCTGTCAATGTTGTGGCTATAGAGATATTACTAGGAAGGATTTGTTCACACGATGTTGTCTATGTATATATCCTAACGTTACCCTGTCAATGTTGTGGCGGCTATAGAGATATTACTAGGAAGGATTTGTTCACACGATGTTGTCTATGTATATATCCTAACGTTACCCTGTCAATGTTGTGGCTATAGAGATATTACTAGGAAGGATTTGTTGACACGATGTTGTCTATGTATATATCCTAACGTTACCCTGTCAATGTTGCGGTTATAGAGATACTACTAGGAAGGATTTGTTGACACGATGTTGTCTATGTATATATCCTAACGTTACCCTGTCAATGTTGCGGTTATAGAGATATTACTAGTAAGGATTTGTTCACACGATGTTGTCTATGTATATATCCTAACGTTACCCTGTCAATGTTGTGGCTATAGAGATATTACTAGGAAGGATTTGTTGACACGATGTTGTCTATGTATATATCCTAACGTTACCCTGTCAATGTTGTGGCTATAGAGATATTACTAGGAAGGATTTGTTGACACGATGTTGTCTATGTATATATCCTAACGTTACCCTGTCAATGTTGCGGTTATAGAGATATTACTAGTAAGGATTTGTTCACACGATGTTGTCTGTGTATATAACTTAACGTTTTACCCTGTCAGTATTTATCAGTGCGTTAAGTATTTGCCCGAGTGCACAGTTCCTGATCCCCAGGGGATCACAGGATATATAATTAGTTTATCACCCACCATGCCATAGTAACTACATAAAGAATGATATTGTTATTATTAATCGGAATGTTTGTTAAAAATGAATACTCGGTATTCAGAAGGCATTGTTCCTTTCGGGCGAAAAAATACCTGACAAACATAAATGTTTTTGTTATAGTCATGTTAATGTAACGTTACAATGGGCCACTAAATGACACTTTCAGGTTTATATAACTGTATACCTGGGGAGCTCTTGTCCCCTGTATCGATCGTGTTATACAGTGTCTATCGTTATAGTAAGGTGTACATAAATGTATAACTGGCGAGCTCTTGTCCCCTGTATCGATCGTGTTATACAGTGTCTATCGTTATAGTAAGATGTGTTATACAGTGTCTATCGTTATAGTAAGGTGTGTTATACAGTGTCTATCGTTATAGTAAGGTTTATATAACTGTATAACTGGCGAGCTCTTGTCCTCTGTATCGATCGTGTTATACAGTGTCTATCGTTATAGTAAGGTGTATATTACTGTATAACTGGCGAGCTCTTGTCCCCTGTATCGATCGTGTTATACAGTGTCTATCGTTATAGTTAGGTGTATATAACAGTATAACTGGCGAGCTCTTGTCCCCTGTATCGATCGTGTTATACAGTGTCTATCGTTATAGTTAGGTGTATATAACAGTATAACTGGCGAGCTCTTGTCCCCTGTATCGATCGTGTTATACAGTGTCTATCGTTATAGTAAGGTGTATATTACTGTATAACTGGCGAGCTCTTGTCCCCTGTATCGATCGTGTTATACAGTGTCTATCGTTATAGTAAGGTGTATATTACTGTATAACTGGCGAGCTCTTGTCCTCTGTATCGATCGTGTTATACAGTGTCTATCGTTATAGTAAGATGTGTTATACAGTGTCTATCGTTATAGTAAGGTGTGTTATACAGTGTCTATCGTTATAGTAAGGTGTGTTATACAGTGTCTATCGTTATAGTAAGGTTTATATAACTGTATACCTGGGGAGCTCTTGTCCCCTGTATCGATCGTGTTATACAGTGTCTATCGTTATAGTAAGGTGTATATTACTGTATAACTGGCGAGCTCTTGTCCCCTGTATCGATCGTGTTATACAGTGTCTATCGTTATAGTAAGGTGTATATAACTGTATAACTGGCGAGCTCTTGTCCCCTGTATCGATCGTGTTATACAGTGTCTATCGTTATAGTTAGGTGTATATAACAGTATAACTGGCGAGCTCTTGTCCCCTGTATCGATCGTGTTATACAGTGTCTATCGTTATAGTTAGGTGTATATAACAGTATAACTGGCGAGCTCTTGTCCCCTGTATCGATCGTGTTATACAGTGTCTATCGTTATAGTAAGGTGTATATTACTGTATAACTGGCGAGCTCTTGTCCCCTGTATCGATCGTGTTATACAGTGTCTATCGTTATAGTAAGGTGTATATTACTGTATAACTGGCGAGCTCTTGTCCTCTGTATCGATCGTGTTATACAGTGTCTATCGTTATAGTAAGATGTGTTATACAGTGTCTATCGTTATAGTAAGGTGTGTTATACAGTGTCTATCGTTATAGTAAGATGTGTTATACAGTGTCTATCGTTATAGTAAGGTTTATATAACTGTATAACTGGCGAGCTCTTGTCCCCTGTATCGATCGTTTTATACAGTGTCTATCGTTATAGTTAGGTATACATAACTGTATAACAAGCGAGCTCCTGTTTCCCTGTATCGGTTCATCAGATCGACACTAATAGCAGAGTTTTATAGTATACCTGTTGGTTTTATTGTCTACCTTGCTCTCACGTGGGGAAAATAACATCATATCATAAGTACCTACTTCTATTGACCAATTGCGGATGTCGTCGATGAAACAGAAGACGCTTACTCTACCGGAACATCTGGTCCTTTTCTCCGGATATTTTTTTTTTAGGAATATTTTTGTAAATCCTCGTGTTGTTTATTTTGCCCTTGGTTTATTGAATTTTGGTTTTAATGGCGATTTTTTGGTTGTATTTATGGACTGTAAAGAACGTTAAGCCGTAATTGTGAGGACAAAGTGTGGTGATCACATTTTAATCGCATTCGGAAATAAATTACGCCCACGTCTTTCCAGCTGGACTCCTCGGAAACCAGAAAGTGAAGTTGAGTTTTAGTTCTGTTGGTATGTTTAAGTTTCTAGACTAAATCAAGTCTATCCGAAGTCAAGACTAAAGTTGGCATGCGATCGATTTTATCTGTCGTCTATATTTAGGGCTAATAAATCAGATGTATACTACTAAAACTAAGAAAGAAAGGCTTTCCAAGCAAATTTCACTCATGGAAATACAAATCTTATCTGATGTGTAAATAGCTGTGAAAAGTTAAAAGTTGTTCCCGAATTAGTTTAGTTCCTGCAGCATTTGAGGTACTAAGATCAGGTCCCCGACGATAAATATGATTCATTTTACTTAACCCACTGTTTTACACCACTCCGATCATTTTTTTCCAAACTGAAACTGTACCATCTAACAAAAACAAAATATCGATGAATTGTTGACTCGCCAACAGAGGTGACAACCTATACTTACTTGGCAGCCAGTTTCCACTTCCCTCCAGATATACCAAATGTACTCCCGCAGTTAAACCCCAGCCAGCCCCACCTGTACCGCAAATAATGCAAAAATTATATTTAAATATAAAGTTACGAAGAATGATGTATTGAATTTCAATTAGGATGATTTACTTAAATATTTTGAAGAGTTTGATTTCGTATGTAACTTACTCATAAAGCTAAAACAATCACTAGAATGTATATAGATTCCGAAAGCAGATCTATTGTATGTGAAGGATTGGACAATTCTGGTACGAACATCTTTGTAAGTAGTGGTAGGTCTGATCTAACCAACCAAGGCTTTTAATAATATTTGATAAATATGCTGAAAAACAAATATGTTAAAAAAATGAGCGGGCAATGCATGAAAATCTCTTATTTTTTTGACCGATGACGGGATAAATTCTTTTCACGAAAATCAATTATTTAAGTATTTGAATTTTGATTTCGTCCAACTAAAATTAATTTTTCATTGTTTGTACGCAAAATGCAGCATTCTGATCCGTCAATTTTTCCTTCTGATTTCTCAATGAAAGAATTTAGCTCCGCTCATTTGATAATAATTGGATGAGTGAACGGCAACATGCCACCTTGCGGCCTGTCGGAACTTCTTTCTTTATTAATGGAATATCTGTTTATATTCCATTCACCTGGTGTGTGGATTGCTAACATTCAACGATGTGAACAAAAAAGGACTACAACATCATCAAATATTCAAACCACAATGTACACAAAAACTAAACAACGAATGAATAACGGATTTTGTGTGTGTGTGTGTGTGTGTGTGTGTGTGTGTGTGTGTGTGTGTGTGTGTGTGTGTGCGTGTGCGTGTGCGTGTGCGTGCGCGTGCGTGTGTGGGTGTGGGTGTGTGTGAGTGTGTGTTATTTCTTACTTTTACACGTTTGTGGCTGGTCCGCTCATGAATGAGTATTGAATGACTGAAAATGGCGCGAATTAGCTGTCAATGACGTCACGTCATTTCACACAATGTGATATGGGTAGTGATTTGTTAACAAATAAATCGTCATTACATTATCGAATTCATAAATTTAAGTGTTAGTTTTTGTCTTTTGAATCTTATCTAATAAATTAATAATAAGCCTTGATATAGATATTTTTAGTTTCATGCTGGAATGAACGCGCATTCATTCAGTTTGCAAAATGTTTTTTCTTCCATACCAGCATGAAACTAAAACATTCATTTCATAGTACAAACCATAACATGAAAGTTCCCAGGAGGGAGTTGACGGGATTCCCCATGGGTAAAGAGTCTGGTCCATGGTCATATCGTCCTGACCTTGGTTTGAGCAAAGCTGCTGCCACAAACGCGGAACTACCTCCGATTAAATGTACACCGCCGGAACCAGCAATGTCTATTACACCTAGTTTGCGCAAAAAACCTAAATTGTCCCATATCCAGTGTGCTGGTATACAGTACACCACAGTATTGACGCAACTGAAGATGATATATGACGACAGTTTAGTTCGCTCCGCCATTGCACCAGACACAATAGTTGTAGCGGTGGTGGCGAAGGAAAGCTGGAACACAAACGTTGAAAACACCACTCCCATTTGATCCTCATCTGCGTCGACAAAAAAGTGCCCCACACCGCAAAACAAGTTTGCACCTTGATCCTGTCCGAAACTGAGGCCGAACCCAAACGCCCAATACGTCAAACCACCAAAGATGACGTCAGCTGCGTTTTTAACCATGATGTTTACCTCGTTTTTATTAGTCACAGCTCCAGCTTCTAGTAAACCAAAACCTGTAAAAACAAAACTCTATCAACAAAAACTATGATTACTTGTTAAGTCAAATACAGAAATGTAGCCGTGGTTTTGTGATACACTGATTTCAATATTTCAATGTAAATGTGTAGTGAGATAGGCGCATGTCTTGCGGAAATGTACTTTTTAATCATACTAGAAGCTGCTAGAAATCGCTCGTGAATTTGGGAAAAACATTTTGTTACATTTTTTTTCAAATCACACGCTATGGATGTCAACAGCAGAAATAAAATATAAAGTCATTTTTTCTAAATATCACATTTGGAGTATAAATAGAGGTTGAAAAAATATGAATCAGTTTGACCTGTTTCTACAACAATGAAAAAAACCTATTACGACGATACATTGACATTTGACGATATCTGTTGTGACATAATGATATGACCTGTAGTGAAAAACTACTACTTTACGTGCAAAATTGAAAATTTCAGAACTATGTAGGGATGTTATTATTCATTTCAAATCTTAATCAGTGTTATACAGGTTTATCATATTCAAAACAAGAAATCCAAATACAAGGTAATTATTACATAAACTACTGGAAGGTGCTTTTCGCTAGTGTGTAAAGCGTCCGTCCTGTCTACTCGTCCGTTCGTTCACAAGTCACACGTGACTCATTCATTGTCACTGCCGCTGTCGTACGTAAATAGCTCTCAATTCTAAAGTGTGTCAGGTCGTCTGTCCTCACTGTCAGCGTTCCGCATGATGACGTCGACATGCATTATGTAGGCCAGAGTTTACGGTATCAACCAATCAGTTGGATTTAATATTTAATCCACGTATGGGTGAAAATGTTTTGTTAAACAATAATTCTACGATTATTCGATGCATTCGGAGTTGTATAACGCCTGTTATGGTTTAAAGTCATTTTCTTAACATTCTCTATTGACAGTCTTTGTTTTTGAAAGAAAAATCACAAGATAATGAATTAAAGCTACGATTGTGACATAGGGACTAGGAATTTGGATAACTGGAGATACATATAAACATAGTCACAAAATGGTGAAAACAAAAGGGACGTGTTGCTTGGCAATCACAATTTAGAACGAACTTGAGCTATAATTATTTTTTTCCGGGAACATCTTACATGCAATGGTAACTGATTACTGCCGTGAGATATTCATTTGTTGTGTTGTCATAGAAACTGATTACTAACACGGTCACCTTCATCTTATAACACAACCAATAGAAGATGAGAGTGTGACATTACAATGACTACACGGTCACATACATCTTATAACACAACCAGTAGAAAATTTGAGTGTGACGTTTCAATGACTACACGGTCACCTTCATCTTATAACACAACCAGTAGAAGATTGGGGTGTGACGTTTCAATGACTACACGGTCACCTTCATCTTATAACACAACCAGTAGAAGATTGGGGTGTGACGTTTCAAAGACTACACGTTCACCTTCATCTTATAACACAATCAGTAGAGGATTAGAGTGTGACTTTTCAATGACTACACGGTCACCGTCATCTTATAACACAACCAGTTGAAGATTGGGGTGTGACGTTTCAATGACCGACTACACGGTCGCTTTCATCGGAAAAATGGCCAGTGTGATGCATACTTCCACTGTAGTGGAAAAAATGGTAAGGAATCGTTGACGGACTTTCTACAAGGCCTTTCGAATTTTTTGTAAGATAATTAAAGCGTTGCTGAATCGACTACAATTCATTGTTACCATCTTATCTTCGACCTTGGTGCCTATAGGATTATAGTACAGCCGAGAAAGGTGGACAATTCCTTACCATCTCGCACACTACGTATGTAGGTGCTAGTACGCTTCAAACTAGTCATTTGTTTACTAAATATTTACGTGCGATAGGCTATACTGAATATTAACGTGCGATATGCTATACTGAATATTTACGTGTGATATGCTATACTGAATATTTACGTGTGATTTGTTATACTGAATATTTACGTGCGATAGGCTATACAGAATATTTACGTGTGATATGCTATACAGAATATTTACGTGTGATATGCTATAATGAATATTTACGTGTGATATGCTATACTGAATATTTACGTGCGATAGGCTATACAGAATATTTACGTGTGATATGCTATACAGAATATTTACGTGTGATATGCTATACTGAATATTTACGTGCGATAGGCTATACAGAATATTTACGTGTGATATGCTATACAGAATATTTACGTGTGATATGCTATAATGAATATTTACGTGTGATATGCTATACTGAATATTTACGTGCTATACAGATAGGCTATACAGAATATTTACGTGTGATATGCTATACAGAATATTTACGTGTGATATGCTATACTGAATATTTACGTGCGATAGGCTATACAGAATATTTACGTGTGATATGCTATACTGAATATTTACGTACGATAGGCTTTACTGAATATTAACGTGTGATAGGCTATACTAAATAATAATGTGCGATAGGCTATACTGAATATTTACGTGCGATAGGCTATACTGAATATTTACGTGTGATAGGCTTTACTGAATATTTACGTGCGATAGGCTTTACTGAATATTTACGTGCGATAGGCTATACTAAAAAATAATGTGCGATAGGCTTTACTGAATATCTACGTGCGATAGGCTATACTAAATGTTTACGTGCGATAGGCTATACTAAATATTTATGTGCGATAGGCTATTCTGAATATTTACGTGTAATTTGCTATATTGAATATTTACGTGCGATATTCTATACTGAATATTTACGTGCGATAGGCTATACTGAATATTTACGTGTAATTTGCTATATTGAATATTTACGTGCGATATTCTGTACTGAATATTTACGTGCGATAGGCTATACTGAATATTAACATGCGATAGTCTATACTGAATATTTACGTGCGATTGGCTATACAGAATATCTACGTGTGATAGGTTATACTGAATATTTACGTGCGATATGCTATACTGAATATTTACGTGTAATTTGCTATATTGAATATTTACGTGCGATATTCTATACTGAATATTTACGTGCGATGGGCTATACTGAATATTTACGTGCGATATTCTATACTGAATATTTACGTGCGATAGGCTAAACAGAATATTAACGTGCGATAGGCTATACTAAATATTTACGTGTAATAGGTTATACTGAATATTTACGTGCGATAGGCTATACAGAATATCAACCTGCGATAGTCTATACTAAATATTTACGTGTAATAGGTTATACTGAATATTTACGTGCGATAGGCTATAGTGAATATTTACGTGCGATAGGCTATAGAGAATATTAACGTGCGGTAGGCTATACTAAATATTTACGTGCTATAGGCTATACTAAATATTTACGTGCGATAGGCTATACTAAATATTTACGTGCGATAGGCTATGCTGAATATTTATGTGCGATAGGCTATACTAAATATTTACGTGCGGTAGGCTAAACAGAATATTAACGTGCGGTAGGCTATACTAAATATTTACGTGCTATAGGCTATACTAAATATTTACAGGCTTTTGTTCCATTGTCATATCAATGGACCTTGCTGATATTATGCCATTTGCTTGTCCTGGTCCCTGAAAAGTGTTGTACTTTGGAGGTTTTTCGAAGCTGACGGACCCATTAAACACTACAATGTTCTGTGGTAAAAAGCACACCGTTAACTGTTATTATGATGATCGATCAGGGCATTTACGTAGGTGAATGCATTCATGAAATATTTACATATCTCCAGGCCATAACTATAGAACATACTTATACCGCCACCCCTTTGATAAATTATTTAATTCAAATATATTGGATGTTTGTATACCTCCCTGAAGTCAAAAACGGGGACAATAATTTATGATATGTGATGTGTATTAATTTAGAACATCTATATCATATCCAATTAGTGTTGATAAATAGTCGAAAAAGTATCCAAATAGAAATAATGTATTTTAGATGCTATTAAGAATGTATACAATAAACACACTACATTAAAAATGAAAACAAAACAAAACAGATCTGTCCTGTCTCGTATTGTTTTTTTATGAAACATCACAATTACTAGATGTAACATTCATAGTCATCCTTAATGACAGGCCACATCCCTCGTTTGTGATATTATTGATTAATTAAATGTCATTAAGTACAGTAAACATATTAACATTACCATCATGCTGTAGCGGTTTATTCGTACATTCTTATACTAGTTAAACTAAGACGACTCCAGTATCCATTGCAAAATTCTTTTAACTGTATTTTATTAATGAAAATGAAACATATCCTACCAAGTATACTTTGTAAATAGGTGCTAATGTGTTCCTACGGAAGCATATTCCGGCCACGTTGTGTTTTATTTAAATCGAAATTTCGAGATAGTAACTCGAAATTTCGAGTTAATAATCCGAAATTTTTAGATATTAACCAGAAATTTCGAGATAGCAACTCCCCAATTTTGAGTAAGTAACTCGAAATTTCGAGTTAGTAATCCGAAATTTTGAGTTAGTAAGTTGAAATTTCGCGTTGCTATCTCGAAATTTCGGGATAATATCTCAAAATTTCGGATTACTAACTCGAAATTTCGAGTTACTAACCTAAAATTTCGCGATAGAATAAAACACAACGTGGCCGAAATACGTTTCCGTATGTTCCTGCATAGTGCTTCTAATAGACTTCACCGCCCCGTTTGGTTCACTCTCCATCGCACTGTTATATTTGTTAAATGAAAAAATGATGGTGTTCCGTCGATTGATTTATAGATTTTTTTCATTATTTAGCTTTAAAGATACCATCTTTCGTCTCTTAACATTAAAAGCTAATAGCTAATACAGTTTGGTATTGTCTGTGTGACATCAAACTGTTTTCACTTATATTTTAAATTTCAAATACTCGATGTTACCTTTGCAAATTTTTGATTGTGCCGAAAGAAAAGTAAAAAAAACCCAAACAATTGGTTTTAACGAGAGCATTAACCACTATTTTCTGAACCGTTAAAAGTACATGTATATAAGATATTGAATTTT